CTTTTAAAGACTTTTTAAAATGAGATAAAGTCTTATATTTACTCACATATTACCATTTTCAGTGCCTTTGATCCTTCTCCATCTGTTATTTTCCTTTTTCCTGATGAATTTTTAGTTCTTATAGTGCAGGTCTGCTGGCAATGAAGTCTCTCTGCTTTTGTTTTATTTACAAAGTGTTTGTTTTGCCTTCATTTTAAACTTTTTATTTTGAAAAGTTATAGACTCAGAGACTCATAAGAAGTTTCCAGGTTCACCTCAGTTACTTCCCTTCTCTCAGGAGTCACGATTCTGAGCAGTCTGAAAACAGTTTTTTCATATATTTTGCCCAGTTTCTAGTTGCTTACTAGAATGGGAGGTAAGCCCATTCATCATGCTTAGAAGTAGAAGTCTCTGCTTTGATTGTTAATGGAGATCACAAGCAACAATGGTTATGTACATTCTGCTTCTGCATTTGGCATTACTGTTGAGGACATTCATATGTCACTCAATAGCCCCCATCTAATACATCACTTCAAAAATGAGTTATATAATATATATATAATAATGTCTATTTCTTTCTTTTGTTTTTTGCCCTGTCTGCAAGGAAAATCAGTCAAGATTTGCACTAGATCATCGCAGTTTTGTTGACCTAGAGGTGACACATTTGCATTCTTATTTTCCACTTAATCTTTTTTCCTTTTTATTCCTATTTTATTAATGTATTTATAAAAGCAGTAGCCTGCACCCCTATAGCACATGTTTTTCTTTCTTTCCCTTTTCATCCCCTCCCCTGTATTAGGTATTTTTTTGATTGCGAGGAATAGAGACATTGTGATTGCCTTTAAGTAACCGAGTTTAAGGATTTATGGAAGATTAGACAACAACACAGCCGGTTCTTGTAGTGAAAAGAATCAGCCATAGATCCAAGCCTCATGCCCCCTCAGAAATGGGTGCCTTTGTTCCCTGTTCAGGTTTTCCTGCTGAGTTAGTGATTCTCATACTTCTAATCTTTCTCTGACCAGTGCTGCTGCTGCTCTCTGTTAGCTGTCTCCTGTGTGTCTGGTCTCTTCTGGAGCCCTGCCTGTGTGCTCTTCTCTCTCACTCTCATTACTAAAGCTCACAGTCACATTCTGAAGGAGAGTATCTGATTGATTCACTTACTGTTGGTGCCAGGCCAGCTCATAGGTCATTAGCCAGCTGAGAGATTCTCTGTGGGTCATGTGCCGCACTTAATTAAACAGGGTCATGTACAAAGTATGGTGACATATAAAACTTGTCTGAAGGGCCATTGGCATAGCAGGCATTCAGCATCTTCCATTCCTCCTCCTTTTTAACAATTGATTGACCTAACTTATTAAAGACAGTTATTAGACTGGATTGTCCCCAAAACTAGTGAGCTACATATTTATAGATTAAGGTTTAGATGAATTGCTTATCTCATTCCTGCAATGTTAAGGTTTTTTTTCTCTTTCATTGTTATTTAGGCACAAAACAAAGGACAGTCTTCGCCACCTTTTAGCCACAACTTAAACCCATGGTACTGATTGTTGGTCCAAGAAAGCCCATCTGTTAGAGACTGTGAAGAGAAAATTCAAACATTTCCATTCTTGTTAGCATCTCTAAATTTGGCAGAAGAGATAGGAGCTGTGAGCTGAAATAAGGTTTTTGGATTATTAGCTCCACCTGGGTTTGAATCCTGGCTTTCCCATTTACTAGATGATAGATGAGTATCTTCTAAGCTTCAGTTTAATCATGAATAAGATGGGGATCATGGTATTTGCCTCATGTGGTGGTTAGGATTAGATGATAGGGTGAATGCAAAGCAGTTAGCAAAGTGCCTGGTGCATAATTAATGCTAAATAAATGTAGCTCCCATTATCTCTAGATCATTAAGTCTTATTAAAAAAGGTTACTCTAGTCCATCAGTAAGTTCTTAGTGCTAAGGAGAACTAACATTTCTTGATGCATGAGCTGAGACCTCATTATTGAGCCCTTGTTTACTCAGCACTGTGCGAGGTACCAACTGGGTATACAAGAGACGTATTGTGATATGATTCTTGCTTTCTAATCCCCACTAAGAAATGTCAGTCCAGAAAAAGTTTCATGGAAATTCAACTCGATGATGGTATTATATTGTTAGAATTCAGGCTCTGTTACTAACTGTGTGACCTTGGGCAGATTGTTTCTCTGTGCCTCTGTTTCTTCATCTATGAAATGGGCAAAATACCTCATAGGATTACTATAACAATGAACAAATGAGTTAATATATGTAAAGCTCATAGGACAATGTCTGATAACACGGTAAGTGCTATATGTAAGTTGCTCCTGCTAGATTATGACTCCTAGCTGTTTAATACTTGAAGCCTCCTTGGGCTTAATCGACCAGTTTTTTTTCCCCTTTGAGTTTAAAGTGAATAGGTTTCTTTGTAGAGGGCTTATAGTATATCTTTAGCCTCCATCATCAGGATCTAGCTGGTAAGAGATGAGTGAGCTGAAGGACATGGTCTACAGATAATCTTGTTCCATTTTGAGATCGGATACCACAGTATCTGTATCATGCCAGCCCTCCTTTAGTGATGCTTTGGCAGGAAAAACATATCTTGAAAGTCCTACAAAGCTGGTTTTTCCCCTCACTAAAATGTTTTTTTGCAGGCCTAGAACGATTGGGGTGCTAGTGATGTGAATGTAGGATATGGGAAAGGCAATTTGATTTGAGACCTTTGATTTTAACTTAAGACATCCAGCAGGCAAGGGATTTTCTAATCTAAAGCTACTTCCCTTCTTAAAGGAGAAATTCTTTTCTGATTTATATTTCCTTCTCAAGAAGTGAGATTCATATGTTTTCTTCCCATATTAGTGAGATTGGACTCACTTTTCATTATGTTTATTGATCATTGGTATTACTTTTATGAATTGCCTATTCATGTCCTTTGACCTCTTTTGTTTATGAGGAGATTACTCCTGTAGAGTGAGGACATTAAAACTTTGCCAGACATGTTTCAAATGTATTTTTCTTTCTTTTTTTTTTTAAAAGATTTTATTTATTTATTTATTTGAGAGAGAGCACATGAGAGAGGCAAGGGTCAGAGGGAGAAGCAGACTCCCTGCCGAGCAGGAAGCCCTATGCGGGACTCGATCCAGGGACTCCAGGATCATGACCTGAGCCGAAGGCAGTTGCTTAACCAACTGAGCCACCCAGGCGCCCTCAAATGTATTTTTCATTTTGTCAATTGTCTTCTTTTACCGTTGGTTGTACTTTTTTATTTTAACTGCACAGAAGCTTGTAATGAATCTATAAATTTTTCCTGAAGAGTATCATCTCATTATGGTTAGAGAATTTCTGCTGAGTGTTATAAAACATGTCATAGTTTATGTGTAGACTGATCCACTTAATAAACATTTTTCCTTACAGAGAGGTGAGTGAGTGTCACACGATTCGAAGAGTCTTTGCGAACTAACATAGGCCTGTAGCTCTAACACCGTAACAATAGCTGGCATGTACTGCGCAGCGGCTTTGTGGCAGGCACTGTGCTGAGTCTTTTATGTGCTGTGTTCCTAATGTTGGGCTTCATGCTAGATAGTAGTATTGTCTGTATTTCATAGATGAATCAAGTGGGCCTGGAAGAAGTGAAACGATTTGCCCGGGGTCACAGAGCTAGTTAGTGGCTGGATTGGAATTTTAAGTCTGCCTAACTTCAAAGTATATACTTTCTCTACAAAGCTCAACTTCTTGAGGCTTCCAATAAATTAGATTGGTCCTAAAAGTTAAGTAAATATCTTTTACCAGAACTTGAAAAGATAGTCTGTAGCCTAGTTCAACTGCTTTTGGTTTCTGAGAGCATAGTGGAGAAGATAATGGGAAGTGTGTGAGCTAGCTGAAAGAAAAGTCTCTACTGTCTAGGGCAGTGGTTTTCAAAGTGTGGTTCCCAGGCCAGCAGTATCAACATCACTTGGGCATTTATTAGATATGCAAATTCTCAGGTCCCACTGGAGACCTACAGAATCAGAAACTCTGGGGCTGGGACCCAGTAATCTGCTTTATAATACTTCCACTGATTATGATACATTTTGAAATTTGAGAATCACTGGTCTAGGGAAATTATTTTGTTCTCTCTAATCATAATTTCTGTTTTTGCAAGCTTCAACCTAAGTCTCAGCCCTTAAGTGCAAAATTAGCATTATCAGATGGTGGCAAAAGTATGGAGTCAGACAGGAGCCAGTTTTGAGATTGAGCATTTAAGGCAAGTCCACCTCCCTGAGCCATAGTATCCCCTTTCCAAAAAGATGTTAATAACAACTATTTCCATATGAGATTTTTTTTTTTTTTTTTAGAATTAGGTAAGATAGTATATAAAGTGCGTAGCACCTTGCCAGGCTCCCAGGTATTTGAGAAATTGCCTCCAACAATTTTTCTTGTTAGCAGAAAGCCCCCATCTGCCTTCTATTCTCAACTTCTCGTTTCTTGAATGTATTTTGCTGTCTTGGAACTCTGGGCCTTCATATTAGCTATTTCTCTTGGATACCCGCACCCCCACCCCTCTTTACCTCACTAACTTCTAGACATCCTTTTGATCCCTGCTTCTGGTTTACTTACCCTGGAGAGGGCTTCTCAAACCCCCACCCTCCAGTCTCTGTGCTTCACAGCAGCCTGTGTTTCTCCTGTCACTGCACTTACCACAAGTTTTGGAATCTCCTGTCTTCTATATAACTTAATTGAGCGCAGGTACAGTGTCTTGTCTACCACCATATTCTAGAGATCACTGAAGTTCCTCACGCATTGTAGGAGCTAGTAAGTGTTGAGTGAATGAATGGTGGCTGTCATTATTGCTTCATCATCATTATCATCATCTGAGAGCAAGTTCCCCTCTCTGGCTTACAGTTTTTGTGCTGACTGCTTGTGATACTCATATTATTAGGACCAGTGCCTGTTTTCTCTTTCCCTGAAAGCACACGCTTTGACGTAGGCTGACATGGGCAAGTTCACTGAGCTGCTTCCTAACCACGATCCCTCTGTGTCACAGGTGCCTCGGGGGAACTGTATGCCCTGATGGGTCAAGTTTATCATATGCAGAACCCAAAATGGCAGCATCCTTCGGACCTCACCATGAGGTGAGTGGGTGATTAGGAGGAGGAGGAGGAGGAAAATTTGGCTGTAGGCGGAATGTTGTGGGGAGTTGGGGTGTAATTGTTGTTTAATTCCAGAGGTGGGAAAAGAAACAGTAGAATATAATGGAATAAGAACTGAGCTGAAATTCAGGAAATGGGGGGTCCAGTACTAGCTTTGCAGTTTATAACTTAGCTATATAATTTTGATCAAGTCATGCCACTTCTCTGGTCCTCACATCACTAAAACTAATATGTTGGACTAATTTATGTCAAAGGGCCTTTCTATTCTGGATCTTCTGGATTCTTGTTGTAGTGTGGTTTTACAGATTTATTCAGTTACTTTGATCCAGTTACTCAGAAACCTTGGAGTCATCTTTGATTCTTTTCACACCCCATATTCAGCCCAGTAGCAAATCCCATAAGCTCTACATACAAAATATATCCATAACCTGACCATTTCTCATCATTTTCACTTGGACTGTTGGAAGTCTCCTAAATGGTCTCCCTGCTTCAGCCTTTGCCTGTCTACTATTCTCAACTCAGCAGCCAAAGAGATTCACGTTCTCTTCTTTGCTCAGAATTTTCCAGTGGCTTCCCATCTTCACAATCCGCTATAAAGACCATGGCCTGGGCTGACGTGGTTAGCTCACCGACCTCATCTATTACTCTTCCCCTTGCTCATTCTGCACTAGTCACACTGGCTTGCTATTTTTCGAATATGTCACACATGCTCCCACCTCAGGGCCTTTATACTCAGTGTTGACCCTATAGTTGCCAAAATCATAGCAGATCTCAGAAAGACAGGGCAGTATGATGGTTATTAGATGAATTCTGGAGATAGGTGTGAATTCAAATCCAGGCTTTTCTACTTACTCCACTTTATGACCTTGGACAAGTTACTTAACTTGAGACTCAGTTTCCTTACCTCTACAAGATATTAACGAGAGTGCTTTTCTGATAGGATTGTTATTCACATTAAATGAGGTGACGTATTTAAAGAATTCAGCAAGTACTTGCATATAGGGCTAGATAAATATCATAAAATGTTAGAATTATTTTCAGCTCTGGCTACTGACAGTCACCTGCGGAGATATCTAAAAATACAGATGTCCAGGTCCTGCCTCAAGGGATTCTAAGTCATTAAGTCAGGGGTTGGGGGCAAGAATCTTTACCTTTAAAAAGCTTCCCAGGTGGTTATTAGGAACAGCTGGAGTTGAGAATGAGATCAAATTATCTCAGAGGGTCTTATTCAGAACCCCAGCCTAAAGGACTGGGGGTGATTAAAGGAGAAGCTCAAGAAACTTTACTTTGAGTCCATGCTATTAATTATTCAGTCTCTAAACTTGCAGTGTGATACTCACATGATGACTTACCTTCTCTGGGAATTTTATTCTAATTTTAACTGCTGTGTCCTGAGCAACCTTGAGCTGTGTCAGACAGTGAGGTCCTGTTGGAGGTACAGGTCTGATGCAACCAATGAAATATAGATCCTGTTTTAAATGTTTCTTGAGGGAGAAAATATTTTTTTCCTACTGAAACATTATTATACGTTATATATTAGGTTTTCTTAACATTCATGTATATGGCACATATCACCATAATACCTCTTTGGCAACTGGCTTTGGAGTTGGAAGGAAATAGCGCTTACATTTTGACTTTCACATAAATAAAATAGTATAAATAATTTCTAAAATTGTGAGGATTGAAATGTAAAATTAATATCTGATATCCAAAAGTAAAGATACTTTTTTTTTTTTTAAGGATTTTTAAAAAAATTTATTTGAGAGAGCATGACAGAGAGCACAAGCAGGGGGGAGGGGTAAAGGGAGAAGCAGACTCCCTGCTCAGCAGGAAGCTCGATGCAGGGCTTGATCCCAGGACCCTGGGATCATGACCTGAACTGAAGGCAGATGCTTAACTGACTGAGCCACCCAGGTGCCCAAAAGTAAAGATACTCTTTTTTTTTTTTTTTTTAAGATTTTATTTATTTATTTGACAGAGAGAGGCACAGCGAGAGAGGGCACACAAGCAGGGGGAGTGGGAGAAGGAGAAGCAGGCTTCCCGCCGAGCAGGGAGCCTGATGCGGGGCTCGATCCCAGGACCCTGGGACCGTGACCTGAGCCGAAGGCAGACGCTTAATGACTGAGCCACCCAGGCGCCCCAAAGTAAAGATATTCTTAAAATGGTTGCCTAGGCCATTTAAATTTTGTGTACAAATAGCCATTCCAGCTGAAACCCTCATCTTTCCTGTTTTTATTTTCCTTCTCTCCTGATAGAAACTACGCTGCTCGGTTCCGGCAGAAACCTCTGCAGAGATACAGTCTGACTCAGTGGGTCGACAGGAACAGGCGAAGCCACCATCGGTTCCAGCGTCTCCCGGACTTCCCATCAAGTCCATTTGTCTCATCCCATCAGCAGTGAAGGTCCCTATCCAGGGTCCTGTTCAGAGCAGCATCTTATCTTCTGCTCTTTTGTGCTTTGTAGATTTTGAATTTTATTTTTCACAAGATTTTTATTTAAAGAACTTGTCACCTTTTGGAAATTTCCATTGCTGACTTGAAATTTTTTTGTATAAGGTCCTTCTTGTTTGTCTGTGTGCATGTAAGTTTAAGCACTGTTACGTTTTAATTTTTTTTATTTAAATCGAAAGTGGCCACTTCTTGAAAGCCTGCATTAAGCCAGAATACCTAGGCTCAAGCAAAACACCCACCTCCTCACAGAGGTGAAGTCTCCTTCTGGTGCCCAAAAGAGAATCATCTTTTAATCTCCTGTAAGGAAGAGATTACCAGGCTGCAAGCCAGTGTTAATTATTGCTGATGACTTATAAGTGGACACAAGTCACTTTTAACAACCCCTTGTACATTTTTATTTGAATCTCTTGAGTACTTGTCAGTATTTTAAAGTTGGTAATCCAGGACATTTGAAGTAGGATGGAGCAGGACAAAAATCCTGTTGAAAGGACAAATTAAAAGTGTAAATCTTCTCTCCTTTTTGTACTTACTAGCTGCCTTTATTTATTTATTTTTTGCCCCCCCTTCATTAAATATGTTTTGCACAATAGGTTTACAAATCTTACACATCTTAACTCTGACGGAAGACTGCTGACTAACCCTTGTCGATTTGTGGTCTTGTGACGGATTGTCTGCTCTGCCTTTTCTCGAGGATTTTCCTTCTTTTTTCACCAGTGACCATTATGCTCCTTAGGTTCTATTGGTGTGTTCCTGTATCCTGTTAGACCTAGATTTGCCTCCTAAGAACAGCCTCCCTGCTCTCTTTACTAAAGAGCTTCCCACCCAGAGTCTTACCTCCAGGACAAGCCAGAAAGCCCGTACTACTGAGGTGTGAGTTGTTCTTCGTTTCATCTGCTCAACTCCAACTTCAAGTATGAGTTGATGTGTTAGTCAATGAGCTCCATCCTGTCGGAGAGACTTTGGAGAGGCACTTTTTTGTCTCCATTATTAGTTAACAAGACGTGCCTTTAGCTTCCAGATGTTACCATCTCATTTGGTTAAACCTCTGAAACACAATTGGACAAAACCACTAATGTGGGTCTAATGTAGTTGTGATTAAGCCTGTGTACAAAAGCATTACCTGATCTAAAGGTTTGGTATTCTAAATTAAGTTGACAGACTTTGTGCAGCCATCCTGAGGGATGTCTGAGGAGTTTGTTATTCTTTCTTTACAGATGGCTCTAGACAGTTGTTGGGAGGTTTTGCAGTCCCGCATTCATGCTGTTCACCCTCCGTGAGGGCTGGGCATGGTTGCCATAGCATGGCCTGTGATACTGGGCTAACTGCCTCTGTCTGGTTTTGTGTTTTCATCAGCCCCACCTTTGTATGTGAGAAACCCATCTTAAACACCCTACCCTGCTTTAGAAACTGAGGGAAAGGTTTGGTCATTCAAGCCACCAATCAGCTTAGATGGATGTCCCGAGGTGTTTACTGTCTTCATCTAGGTGAGAATTCTCTTCCTTGGACATTTGGTTTAGATTCTGGGACCAAATGCAAAGTTCTGTTCAAAGGCAAGAGTCAAAATCTATTACTTTACTTGGCATAATGGACATTTACTACATTAGTCACTTCTCCAGGTTTCCCTGAGTTAGCATGATGGAGTGAGATAAGCAGACGTCTACCTTTGGAACCATAGCATAATAACAATTAATTGTAGCTGGAATAACTAGCACCCGAGCTGTCTAGTTGCCCACGAACCCAAGGAGTGAAGGGACAGCATTTTGCTTAGGCTCATCTTCCCGCATTCCTGGTAAAGGAGGGTTTAAGTCTGAATGTATAATGGCAGCATTGCCTTTGCCAAATGAGTGACGGGTTAACTAGAAAATGTGACAATCACATTTCCTCTTTGCTCAAATAATTCTGTTTTTCCAAAGCGTTAGCAGCTTAATTAAATCTGTTGGACTGGGGGAGGAGAGAACTGTTCTCTAGCGGTTAACATGGTATTCTTTAAGAAGAAAAAAAACAAAGCCAAAGAAAACTCATTACCAGGCATGTTTGCCTTAAAGATGGTAGTAGGTAAAATCTGGAGTTTTAATATGTTTTTAAAGCTGCATATCTCATACCTGGTGTTGGGTTCTCAGTCTAGTATTTCGTGAGTTCTTGCTGTATTTTATTTGAGTAAGGGTTATGTGCATTTAACTGCCTACCTAGCTTTCTTCATTCATGACGACGTTCTCACCACAGGGGTCTTGACAAAGCGTAAAAATGTGCTGTTTACATAGTTTACTTGTAAGAGCTTGCAATAACCTATAGCTTTGCATCTCGTGCAGGCCTCATGGACTTGAGATGTCAGGATCAGTTATGAAACCGAAGTTTGGTGCCTCCTCTTTATCATGTTTTTTTCCTTGTAGCAGTTGTGTTTAATGTCATTAAAGAGAAATAAAAGTTCTTGTCGTGGCATATGTACTGTGGCCGTCTGTTGCAGGCTTTGAAGGAGGGTTCCTTCCTCTTTTGCGTGGGCAGGTTAGTGGGGTCTGGGCGGGGGTGGCAGTTAGTAGAGTGTGGTACTGGGGAGGCAAGGGTCCACGCTCCCTATTCTTTTGAGGGTAAATTACAGTGTTGAGAAAGGCCTTCCAGCAGGTAAGAAATGTTGAAATTGATTGGGATTTGCAGCTACATGTAGTGCATGTCAGGAGCCTGACATAGGGAAAGCCTGAAATACCACTGTGCTGCTGTTTTTGCAGAGGGGGAGCCGGCTCAGCCCGATCAGACAAGCACTGCCTTCCGTTCCTTCCCATGGCTGTGCGGGGACCTCTGTCTGCCTCTCCTGAGCTGGTGCTGATTAAGGAAGAAGCTGAGTTATCCCAGAGCATTCTCCCTTTGAAAGGGGTAGGGGAAACCAGAACTGATCATACAAAACTGATGGTAGTTCTTAACCCAACTTCTCCAGAAACTGACTGCTCCTGGAACCTGGGATGAAGGTGGAATAAGTGTGGGTAGATGTGGGGGACACGGCGTTCCTTAGAACCCTTTTGTGAACCTGAGCTTCTTAGACTTACCCAGGAGACCAGGATAACGGCAATAAAAGCTTGTCACCTGTATTAGCCAAAGCTTTTAAAATCTCAACTCATGCTGAGAAAATAAGTAGCAACATGTTTGGACAGGCTCTCGGGCTTGCTGTTATGTAAGTTTTGTTTAATGGATATTCTATAGTCCAAGCAAAAGCTTCAATATAGATTTGCTAAATACTCAGCTATTTGATATTGTCTTACTCTGAGGTACTCTTGACCTATACATACCCATTTTGTTTCTGTCAGGTGTAGATCCTTGGTCCCGTAGTTGCTTATTTCCCTTTTAGCAATGCATTACTGCAGACATTAAAGGTCTCAGAGACCAGGCTGCATTCTCTTGAAGTGGTGGTGTTCTTACCTTTAGTTTGTTTTATGTTACGGAAAAGTGAGGAGGAGGAGAAATGGACCTTCTCTCAAAAGAATGGGGTCATTCTCTAGCCTGTTTGGAGCTTTTACAGGAAGAAAAAAACCCAACCACCTAAAACTAGAAAGAGTTCCCAGCTTTTCTTTGTGTTGTCCTGCTTTTCTAAGAGAAAACAATTATTCCTAAGCTGGTTCTAGGGTATGCTTGCTTTGTATGTCAGAGCACCTGTCAGGAAAAAAATTTCCACTTGTCACAGGAAGTATCTAGCTGGTCAGTGGTGGAATTCCTTAATGAACAAGCTCCTGCCTTGTCAATCCTCCCCACCTGTCCTCCTCCAGTGACAACTGGAACATGCCACAGACAGAAAATCTGACCTTCCCCAGCACCTGTTGAGAAGGGGGTGGTATGTAATCTTTTGGACAACCTGTAAAACACTCCATGTCGTAGTCCTGAATCATTATTATCACTAAGGAACTATTTGTATATGAGGATCTCCTTCGACTTAGCTTCAAGTGACACTTGAGGGTTTGGGAATATTGTATAATATTCTGGGAATATTTGGTGGGGCTGGAGCCAGGGGGTGTTTCCCATTTATGGAAGCAATTTGTTCTTGGAGGCCACTTAAAAGCAAAACCCAAAAACTCAAATAGGTTTAAAGAGGGTGAGAAATAACATGGCAATCTAAAACGTCACATGACTGGAGTGGTACAATACTACATATTTTTAAAAAGAGCTGAATTAGAGGTCTTAAAAGTGGATTCTGGAGGACGCTACCCTGAAAAGCCTGGGTTGAAAGGACAGGATCAGAAAGAGAGAAGGACTCTTGCCCCACAGAAACACGGTCCTCCTCTTCCAGACCCTGGGGCTTCCCTCTTGTTCCTGGGAGGAAGCCCCCTGGCTCCTACTCCAGGTGTCAGGTGGGCTCTGGGACTCTGTTCGTACCCCTTTGTTCTTGACAAGTAAGGAAACCACCCCCCCAGAGAAGTAGCTGGCCTGAGGGGTCACTCGGTGACAAGGAAGCCTCGCCTCTCGTCTGGCATTCTCCCATAGGCCCTGCGTGGCCTGCAGGTCAGGCCTCTCAGTCTCCAAGAACTTGCCTACACCCGTCCCAAGCTGTGAGGAATCTGCGGGTCTACGTGGTGAAGAGGGGACCCCGGCTCAAGTCATAGCTGTAGGGTTCTGGGCATGACGGCTGGTTGTAGCTTCGTTGTAGAACTTGGGGGTTTAGGGAGGTAACTACAGGGAATGGGGTTTCCCTAAACTGGACTGTTCACTCCTCTCCCATCCCCCTCATACCCTCAGCTGACATACTACAAGTACCGCTAACCCCCTGGCCCCCACAGCTGGCTGGACGTACCTGGTGCTGACCTCGGGGCTTCTGCGCCACATGGCACTAGACAGGCGCACAGGACCCGGGGCCTGGCAAGTACCTCTCTCACGTGTGGTTTAGAGTTCTGGGTGCCAACAGATTTCCACTTTCCCACCCAGCCTTTAAGACTTGCTCTCCTCCCCTTGGAACCTTCCATTACAGTGTGCCCCTAAGTCCCCCTCACCTGACCTTTTCTCTCCAGCTCTTGCTGGCTCTGGACAGGAGTGTTCGAGGTGTCCCATTCACTGGTTTGCTCACTGGCTAATGACATCCTTACTCCACCTTTCAGCCTGCTGTTGGAATCCTAATGATGTCCCTTTAACCGCCCCAAACAGCATGCTGGGACTACTGAGCTGCGGCAGGCAGCTTCTGCAGTTCCTCCTTCCTTCCCTCCTCACTCTGGGGAGACACTACAACTGCATTCCTCTGGTCAGGGAAAACATCCAGCCCCGCCCAAAGGGGAGAACCCTTCCTTCTAAAAACTGAGCACCAGCCTGCGTACCTGTGTGGCGAGGCAGCCCAAGCTTGGGTTTGGAGGCCTCGGTAATAGGAAGGCGGAGGAGCTATTTTCTCCTCCTACACGTGCACCCCCATCTGTTCGAGATTTCCCTTCCAACTCCAGCTTGGCTGGCAGGCATGTCCCTAAGAAGCTGCAGGCCAAAATGGAGAGAGAGAACGGACTCCCTCCTCCACACATCCTGACTTGCTGCCAATTGCCGGAAAAAGAGGGTAACATTTGGGCATTTACCAGAAGACAAGGATGTGCCTTTTCATTTGTCTTTTATTTTACATTTAAAAAGAGGTTATTGCTCTAACTGGATCAGAGGTAAGGACCTCTCCCCTAAGGAGCCTTGGCCTTGCAGCCCCATTCAGCAGGGATGGAAGTCACAAGACAATGAGTGGAGCCTCATGCCCTTCCATGAGGAAGCCCTTAGTATTGCTGACATCTGCCTTTTACCCTGTCTCTCCTCCCTCCCTCCCTGTGCTGCCACACTGGGGCCAAGCAGAGTGGTGGCTGACCTAGCCGGGAGAGCTCTTGTAGACCGGAAGGAAGGGGTGGTCATTGGGTGATGGCTTTCAGCTCTCTGGCTTGGGGGGCGGGGGGGCCACTCGCTCTTAACGTTCAGTTCAACAGGTATTCACACAGCCTACTCTGTGCCAGGCTTGTGCTAGGCGCAGTCCTCCCACATGCCCGTCATTCGCCACCAACGGAAGGCGCAGAGGCCCATCTCTTCCCCTGCAGGCATTCAGCAGCCGTAACTTGTCAGTCCCAGGGAAGAGTCTGCCTTCCCTTATCAAGCACCATTTTGTTTTGTTTTGTTTTGTTTACCAGAAAGGGGCAGTGGAGAGAGAGACCTGTCACCTCACACCACTCAGGCTCTAGGGAAGGACATGAGGACCCTGGGTAGCTTTCACAGAACCCTGGATGAGATGGCGAGATATGGAGACCCCAGAGGCCAGGGCTGCTCTGACTGTCCACGGTAATGGCTCAGGCCTGTCTTCCAGCAGTTTCCACTCCAGAGCGGGTGACTCAGCAGCCCCTAGGATGTCCCACGTGGACATACCTTTTCAGTTGTGTAAGCCAGCATTGTTCCAACTCCAAGAGACTCTTCCTCAAGAAATGGGGCCAGCACCTCCCAGGTCTCCTTCTCACTTTGTCTTCTTAAGACTCCAGACTAATGATGTTATAGTCGGAATAAGGGCCAAAGAAGACAGAGGCCTCAGGCAATCAGCTCAGGGAATTCCTCTGCCCTCTGGAGTGAAGCCCTTCAGTCGTGTTTTCCAAAGAGACAAAACAGAACATCTTACACGCTCGCCAAGTTGTGCGTCACACCACAAACAAGTCCTTGATGGCTGGATCCATGACCCTGCCCCATGGCTTCCCTGATGGCTCTCGGTCTGAAAGACACCGCTGGAGTCAGTCTAGGTGCTTGTCATCTCCCAAGAGCTTTGTGCATTTTCTCAAAGAGGAAGCCGGTCCAGGAGAGGCGAGGAGGCAGAAAGAAGGCTGTGTCTCATGCAGCTTTGCCTTTTCCAGAATGGGGCCAGGCCTTTTAGTTTTGTGGCTTGTTTATTTTTTTGCAGAATTTGGGTTTGTAGTTCAGCCTCCTTCACCAGACTAGGATGGGGAAGAGGGAGAACAGTGCAGCTAGCTGGGCCTCCCACCCACCATGGTCCTCCCTGTCCCTGTGCCCATGGACCTGGAGACCAGCAGAGAAGAAAAATGAAATCCTTCTCCCTGCAGACAGGCAGTCATGCTTCGATGATGTTCACCGAGGGCTTGTTTGGAAACTGGGAGGAGAAAAATGAGAGAAGCAGCCAGGGCTAATCGAATAGACTTCTTGCAAGGTTGGAAATGGGGGGAGGACACGAGAAGGAAGGGCTGCCGCCTGAAAGCCAGGCTCTTGTCCCGCATAGAAGGGAAGGAGGAGCCCTGCCTGCCTGTCTCGTCTCTCTGCCTTCTCAAACCCAGCCTTCGGCCTCACTCACTTAGCTGCCAAGACTGGGTGCCAGGCCCTGGGCCCCCCAGCCCCCGGTCCACCCCCAGCAGAGCCATCCCGCCGGCTGGTTCTCTCCCATCCTGCAGACCTGCCTCTGAGCGCGGCCTCGGCCCCTGACACTGTCGACGTGCTTCTGGAGATGGGGGTTACTAAGAGG